AATGAGGTGGCTGGATGGAGTCACTGAAGCAGTTGGTGTGAGCTTAGGTGGACTCCGGGGGTTGGTGGAGGACAGGAAGGCCTGGAGGAATGTTGTCCATGGGGTAGGGATGGGTCAGACACGACTTCGCAGTAGCAACAGCAACGACAACGGCAACAACAATCAGGCAGCTTAGATGAGGAAGTGGTGAGGAAAAAAATCTGGTCTTCCATGTAATTAATGTTACTACCTTTGTTTGTATACAGGATGACCCTAATGCTTTTGCTCCTGGAGCTGTGTAAAGATAGACCCAAAGAAAGCAGGGGCCCCCATCCCTTCCCGATCACTTTGGCAAAGACTGCCACGATCCTCTTCAGCCCTGCTCTAGTGCTTTTAAGGAAGAGAAAGGCTAGAGGAAGCTTTTCCAGATAGGGGGAGAGTGGTGGGAAGATCTTCATCAGCCACCTTCCTTTGTGCCTGGCTGCTATGAAAGACCCTGGAGCAGGTTCAACCACCGAGCCTGCCAGTCTGTTGGCAACTCATCTGAGGCTTTACTGGATTTCATTTGTACTGTAGTTTGCACTGTAAAATTATTTTGTTGTGAAAAAAATCTTACCAGCCAAGACTCTTTGCCTTGGATGGTACTGTGGGATAGCATTGCACAGTGCCCACTCCAGGTTTTGGAAAGCCCTGAGGGCCCCTGCCTTACCAGCATCGCTGCTGGCTGCCACGACCCCTCCTCTTCATTGTTCTTTCCCTGCAAAAAGCCCATGAACAAACAGGTGGAGGCTGCCCTCATCTGAGCCAAAGTGAGATGAGGCTGGTAATGAGGAGCAGGCCCAGTAGGCTGTTACCAGGGGTGGGGGCAGCTGGGTTTAGCCCCTGTTGGGTGCCTGACCATGCTAACTCCTGACCTTGACCTTGGCATTGTGTTTCAGCAAAAGTTAAATAATTCAAGCATACTACGAATAAATCATTAAACACTTCATTGCATTTACATCCTGTCTTTCCTTCCAAAAGAATCTGCAGGATAATTTTGGTATCATTCAACACTGAAACTATCAAGGCTCAGTGTCTTGTTCTTCTTTAATACAACTCATGACCTCCTGAACCTGAATTGGGTCAGATAAGCCCTCAGTGGTAAACTTCCTTCCCAGAATGAAGCAAGTTTCCTGTGATAACACTATAACTTGCAGGGAATCACTTCCCATGCATTCTAGCCCTTTGACATGGGTTATGAGGTGCTAACTGCAGCAAGAACAAACTTTTGTTTCTATAGGACAGCCCATTTCTCTAGTCAGAAAGATGGATCCATTGCTTCCAGTTCTGAATCTGCAGTCTGAGTTTTTTGGACTTCAGAAAATATAGATCATGCTTGAGCAGAAAAGTGTTAGTTTGTTCCTGGATTATTTCTATAACTTTAAAATAACTATTGGCTTATACTATGTGATCCAAAAGATAGAGGAATTCAAAGCTAGCAGCAAGCAAAGGGAAGGAAAGCCCATATTACACAAGGCTGTGTTTGCAAGAGCAATATGTTCAATAAACCCCCGGAGAGCTTGTTTGCTTCCCTTCTTCTTCACCCACTCCCTCCCTGTATTCCACATGCCTTTGTGGTACTGGCAATTTGTGTGGCTGGTTTGAAATGACAACCAGTGGTTCAAACCGCTCAGAGTTCACTACCTGACAATGTACCACTGGTTCTCTTTCTGGATGATTTGTGGTTGATAACCCATGACTTGTTAGTGCAGCCACATTTATACACCATGAAAACCTCAAATTTAGTAACCCATAGCCCACAGTAGGCTGGTCTGGAAAGAGTCCCCTGGAAAAAGGAAGTCCAAAAATCATCTGCTGTCTCTCTGGATGCACTTTTCATGCAAATTAAAACTACAAGTTAACTCTCACACTAGTATAAAATGCAAGTACACACACAGCTGTATTTTTCAACAGATTTCTCTAGTCAAACAGTCTAGAGGATTAAGAAAGCAGCTGAGCTTGGGGTCCCTAGGTGTATATCGGATGGCATGATTTTATCCTGAGGACTCTGTGCAGTTTGTGGAAACAGCTTGAAATCAATGAAAATATTACATTATGTTTATTATTATTTTCCCCAGGACACATTGCGGGACGGTGCAGTCAGGCAGCATGTGAGTGTGAGTCTGGGCGCAATAGTGGAAGCAAAAGAAAGGGTGCAATAGCTGGTAACTGCTCAGCTCAGATTAAAACAGAAGCAGCTCGTGGAGGCCTCGTCGATCACATGGGTGTCAGCTTGTATGTGGAACTTTTGTCCTCTGAGACAGCTGAAGCTGAGCCTGGTCTTGCAGTGTCATTTGTGCTCTTTGTTTCTGACCTGTTATATGGAAAGCAGGGCGCTCTCTCATCAGCACAAATGGCCCTGCAGAGACCAAATGCAGAAAAGGAAAGGGGAAATGAAAAAATAGAAACAAGGGAATGGCAGTTTCCCTTCTAACACTGCTGGAAGACTTTCTCCACAGAGAAAATAGTTCTTTAATGGGGGAAATCAGAATTCTCCACAATAGTTTCCTACAGGATCAATTAACAAACAAATCATTTCCAGAACAAACACCATTTTTAAAAAAAAGTAGAGGCTTTAAATATTAAAAGCATTAATTCTGGTTCTGCAGGGCAATATAGTATGTGTTTGCTCATATTATGCATTTAAATGAGCTCCTTTAATTTCAACAAGACTTAGTCTAAAGTAAACCTATGCAGTATGTCAGATTAATTTGATCAGTTAAGTTAAAATTACAGAAGCAAAGTCTTTACTATAAAGACAAGACTAGCCGCCTGCTTAGTGAAAAAAAATCTAGAACCAGGATAATTACTCTCTCTAACAAGTGTACTTGAGATAATTCTCACTGACAATTGGTCACATCCAATTCCAGGGCTCCAGGTGTTGACTTACCCTCGTGTGCTCAGGGTCTTCTTTTTCACCATTTTTGGTATAATACAAACAGTAAAAAATACTCAGCATTAAGCTCCATTATATCCAATGGGGCTCATTCCCAGGTTCACAGCCTTATTTGCTTTTATTTAAACATTTTCTATCCTACCTTTCAGTAAAACAAATTCCTGTCCGACTAGAAACATAAAATTAAAACCATCAATTTAAAACAAAAGCAACACTTAAAATAAGGAACAGCAGTAAGAGGAGATCAAGAGCAAAACTACCAGCAGTAAAATATTATCCATAAAAAATTGGGACAATAAGATTCTTCGCCTGGTACCTAAAGCATGTAAAGTAGATCCCGGGAAAGTGTCTCCAGGGAGAATACGTTTCCATTAGGGCACGACCAGTGAGCATGTCCAAGCCTTAGGCGATGCTCATCCAATCTCAGAAGGTGGGGTCACTGAAAGGAGGACCTGTAGAGAAACTGTAGTATGTGCACGGGTTCAGATGGAAGCAGGAAGTCCTGCAGATACACCTGTCCTTCGCTGTGTAGGCTATTGCATGTGGGTTAACCATCACCCAGCCTTCAGAGATATTTATTTATTTATTTATTTATTTAAATCATTTTTCTCCTGTCTGTATCTGAACTGGATCCCTAGATGGCTTACAGAAGGACAAAAAACATAACTGCACTTGAGTAAAACATAGTCTTCATTATATAAAAAATGTACAACAAAAACCATTTAACCATTAAACTGCCAGGTGAATAAAAAGGTTTTGGCTTGGCATGGAAGTGAATAAGTGTCAGCACCAGGCACAGCTCTCTGGGAAGTGTATTCCATAACCAGGGTGCCACCACAGAGAAGGTCCTTCCCTGGGTAGCCACTCTTCTAGCCGTTTGGAGAAGGATTTTGGTGGAATATGCTGGATGCCACCTGTGTCAATTCAAAGGGACCAAATGAGTTGTGGGTGAAATCACATTCTGTGCCACCCCTATCCCCACCCAGGATTTTGTTG